AAATCTCACCTACTCCCCTGCAGAAAATTCATGGTGTTGCATGATTTTCTTTTAACCATGAAATAACTACTAATAAGTAATTAGAGTTAAACATATTAGATAAAGTTAATATTTGAAAATACAACAAGCTAAGAACTACATGAATWAGGGAATAACCTATACTTATACTAGTATTTGTTCATACTACAGTATGTGTGTTTACTCAATCATGTACTCATACTCAAAAGTGTTTCGATACCACAGTACTCATTACCACTTTCTACAACATAATGTTCACCTCTTCGTAATGAGRTAGAGAAGAAGCAATGTCAGCCATGTGGAGACAGTTTGATTTTTTTCTTATTTTAATTTACTTTGACTGCACTTTGCTTTCCATTTAATGGTAGTAATACACAAAGTTGTTTGCTAAATGTCAAAACACAACCAGAAGAAGCAGCAACATAGAAAGATGTCTAGCTGAACAATGGTGACAAAAATAAAGGGGTCTGCAAATTATGTTCGACAAAGCTTTCAAGATGTGGGACAAAATCAGACATTTTTACCCYAGGTCGTTTGATAAAATGTCTAAGTTTAAAATGTTTGYTAATAGCAYCAGGAAACAGCAGCATTCCCCTAASTGAGCAGATGAGGACTTSCCGCTTAACAATGAGCACTTCTGGAAAATATTTATTGTTGTCTTGGCTTTGTTTGAGGAGTTAACAAAAAGTAAGCTCATCTGATTTTCAAACCCAATTTTAAAGTAGTTGTAGGAAGTGTAATGCCACTCTATAAGCACATCAATCAAGTCAACATCTGTGGGGRAAAAAGTCTCATGGATTTTTGTTTTCATTTTAAATGGCGGGTATTGTGTATTTTTCAGGCACATAGCTCARTTCTATACTACAGTCAAGTAATTATGTTACCTTCAGTTGTTGGTATTTCTTTTTTCTTTTTAAGGGTAGCGCCTCTTTATGGCTGCTGGACCCGGGGCACCTGTTCTCCCTGTTGTGTTTTKTCTATATATCTTGAATGGGTTGTTCCGAACTGTAACTTCCCTTCATGGGATCAATAAAGTATCATTCATTCATTAATTTATGAAAATGCTGTGCATATTAAAAATACATTTGGCTTTGCATCATAGTTTAAACGCCTTGAAATTGGCCTCTGTGTCTTTAAGAACCTTCTACTGTTTTCGACACTATACATATCTCCCCCCCTTCAGAAAGTTTTCAAACAATATTTCAGGGGACAGATGCTTTGTGGGGTGGGAGCTCGGGTGCAGGCTGAGCTTCAGGGAGGAGCTWTGTACAAATGGGGGTGCTTTGAACTAGCAAGTGTTTTGGCAGCTCCATGTGGCTACAGGAGATTCAAGGATTTCTCAAACATGCATGAGTCAAAGTTGTTTTGTTTTTTTTGTTTGTTTTTTTTGATGAGGGAATGACATAACATGATATTAAGCTCAGCCCACCCCACCCCAAAAGAAAAGAAAAAAAATACATAAAAAAGAATAATAAATAAACAAATGAATAAATAAGAGCAATTGATTTACATGGAAGGGGCAGGACTTTAAACTTGGACTGGCGCCATCCTCTGAGGATTTTGTTCCCTGTCAGACTTCAAATTTCAAGATCCTGGATGGGGTTCATTATTATAAATTGTGTCAGCGTGATAAACAGTTGGTCTAAACTGGAAATAAAACCAAAAAAAGGACAAATATTTAAAAAGTAAAGCAGGAAACAATGACAGAAAACCCATCCGTTTTATTGTCCTGCTTCTCTTTTTCGTCTCAGGGAGTTGTTACCCAGCGGTCAATATGTGAGAGGCGAGATGCACTGTGGACAGGTGGCAAGTTCATCACAGGACTACATAGAAACAACCATTTACACTTTTAGTCACACCTAGGGACAATTTAGAGTTACCAATTAACCAAACATGCTTGTATTTCATGTTGGTGAGAAGAAACCAGAATACCCAGAGAAAACCCTTGCWTGCACAGAGAGAACTCCTCACAGAAAAGACTAACTGGGTTGCGATCCTGCAACCTTCTAGCTGAGAGGTGACAGCTCTAATTATTTTGCCTTGAAGGAAAATCTAAAGCTATACAATTAACATTTATCTTTATCAGTTGGTGGAGACTTGGCAGTATAAAAACAATGTAACATATATTAGCGCATCAGGCTTATCAGAAAAAAGGATAAGGTCTAAAAGTTGGTTTTTTCATTTGTGTAATGACTTTTGTGTATAAATAATATATTGAAAAAGAAAAGAAAAATCATTTTTGTTGTGTTCTATTTATTTATATTTCATGGTTTTCTCACTAAGTTAATTAAGGTTGAAATGTATTTATATATTATCTTATAATTTACATGTCCTTGTGTGTATGGTTCAACCCAAATATAAAACAATCCTAAACCATTTAAAAAACCAGAAAAATSCCACATTCCGGTCTAAACATCCTAATTGCCAGGAGGGATACCTGGCTGGCATCCCAAATAAATCAAAATAAATAGCAAGAAAATCAGCAATAAAATAGAACCGTCACAACACATTTGTGTAGTAGTTTGACAAGACCACTTTAACCCAATTTCAGTCTGTCTGTTCCCCTTATGAGATTATTTAAATAATGAAGGCCTGTGACGATTCCAATAAAACCGCTAACAGTTGGTCATTACTGAATGGCGACGGGGGACATCAGCAACTTTTGGCGTTGAGTTCTATCTTGTAGTTTTAGAAACTGTCTGCATCCACCTCCATCAGCTGTATTAATTTTAATCAGAGTTTGAGAGATCAACAGTTTACGTGTCATTTTGTTAAAGTGAGTGTTTTTTTTAAATCAAGTGCACATATCTTCACATTACCATACTTCCAAAATCATTTCTTTTTCATTGCCTAAAKTAAGTTTGGATATTGTTATGCCTTTTTTCATTTCAAAACCTCTTTCAGTCTGTCTTGCAAAGTTTGATAAATTTCCACGCCTCCATTCAGGGTCAAAAAGCATTAAAAGATGCTGATTTGGTTGATTTGATACAGTGCATATTAGATTTGTGACATAAGAGTTTTTATGACTTATCTGAGCGCTTTTACATCTTTTGTGTTTAATGTCTGGGGACGATCTTGTGCTCGCTCTTTTTCACCAGATTTAATTTTAATGTTGTGTCAAGGAGCCATGCTATTTAGCTGGCTTTTTATTTGCAAGTTTCACTCTGTAGCCCAAATTTTAATTGCCTATCTTGGCCATTGTTCGAAACTTACACAACATAAAAGTGACAATCAATCTCGCTTATGAGGCGTTGTCATCAGCGAGGCGCGTTGAGGATGATCTCTGGATCTCTGACTGAGGGAGGTGAATCTGCTCGGTCTGATGAGTAATTATGGCTAATTTCCTAATTACCTCAGCAACGAGCTTCTCTGTAGTGTTCATTAAAAGCCATAATTGCATTGGGTTGACATGCTCTTTTATCCACTTTGGGTTCTTTTCTGGCAGCTTAGCTGTGAGCTACAGCGCTGCCCCTGCTTGTCTCAGTCGATAAAGGTTGATTGAATGCTTGGTGTGGAGTGTATTGAACACAGCTTCTGATTGCACTATGATTACTAAGATCACATGTGTTTCCTGTGTAATCCTTATAGATGGATTATGGAAAAATAAACTCAATACTGTGAGCAGATTATAATAGTTTGCTTCTCCTAGTGAAACTAAACATATTTACAAAGAAACATTATTTTCAAGATTTACATTATGATTTTTTCACTCTCCTGCTTTTTAAACACCTTTAAGCTGCCTACATTCTGTCTGGTTTCCTGTCTTTGCAGCTTTCTTTCCTCCTTTCCTCCTCTGTCTGTCTCCTGTTCCGCTCTCTTCCTGCCTTGCATTGATTTGGTTCTTCTTTGTCTCAGAGAACTGGCCTCCAAGTTGTCAGCTGCGTCAGGATTAAAAGCTATTAGTTCTGCATCATTGCCACTACAAGTGTGCTCTTGAGATTGATAGAGTGGCCCTGCTCTTCCAGTGGGGGCAGAAACAGGAGGCAAACAAACCTGAAGGGGGAGGTTTTTAACTCTCAAATCTGACAACAGTCACCTAAAGGCGCCCTAGCCTTGGACTTTCCCTTAGTTTGTTTTAGTGGAGTGAATTGTTTTTCACACAAATTCTGTATGTTTGTAGCTCAGTAACTCACCAAAATCTAAGTCCAATAAAAATGTTATATTTCCATACAGCTTTTTAGTCACTGCATTTATGTAAAGGACATTTTTATAATAACTGGTTACTCATAAATTTGAAAAAAAAAAAAGTCAAATGAAAGTTCAATAATGCATCAGACTCAATCTGACTTGTTTTTTTATGAAGGCTTTTTAATGTAACAGTGGGTTCCCTGTGCCAAATAATTTGTCAGTTGTGTAATTGTCTTTCCCTCTGGTGTGTATTTTCCAGACACTCACACTGCATTGGGGCAAACACAGTGATTATTATATTTCCTCTCATGGGATCTTTTACATCATTGCACTGTCACCAAAATAGCCACCTTAGCTAATTTCATGTAGTGTAGCGAGCTTTTTATTTGTCAGCAGAACTTACCACAGTGTTGTTGGTGGGTGCCTCATAATGTATTTCTTTTGTCCAGTGACAAGTCTCAGATGAGGTGAGGGACAGCTCATGAAATGTTGTGTGTTCAGCCTAAATTAGGGTTGGAAATAAACAGGAAGGGTTTTAGCCTTGTGAACATAATCCATTATAGGGTGGTTTATTTGTTTTCCCAGACCACACAGTCATAAAAAACAGACACATTATGCCTCTTTTGAATTATCAGTACAATTAAGCTGAGGTTTAAATAAAACTGTAAAAAATGGTCGATTTCCGTATCAGTCTGATACGTATTTGTGCCTTGGTTTTACCTCATGAAGCTAAATTGCTCATTGAGACAAGGTTTGCCTCTCACCTGTGCTTGTCAGATTTCCTGTGTAGTCAAACACATCCAGGGGTTTATTGTACTGTCACATTCTAACACGGCCCTAATATTTCATTCCAGGCAATTGTCGGCTACTTTGACATTTTCTTCGACAAAGGCTGCAGCAACAAGGTAAGCAGCAGTGGCAACATCCAAGCCATTTAATGGAAACTCAATTATGTTCACGCTTTAGCGTGTTCCTCCTCCCTGAGGCGTTCGCTGGCAATCGACGAGCGTCTTAGCCAACTGCTGATACAAGCATTTACCCAGCAGAGCCTGGCCAGTAGGAACAGCTGATGCCAAGCTCAGTGAGCAACATAGACATGCCTTTTGATTGCACTTCCTATTAAACCTGGGAATGTAGCTGAATATTGTAGCTGAAGCAGTAAATTACCATTTGCACTRGGGGCTATAACTGAAACAATTTATTAAAAATAGAGTTGTCTTTTGCTTAAAAAGTATAGCAATTATGTTTCTTTTATCACAGAGAAAGCTATAAATGATTTTAACACAGAACTGTAAAATTGAATTGTTGGTAGAAAATCAAACATAATATTGAAATACTTAGTATCTCCCGTTGCGTGGTAAAGAGGAGAGTTGAAGACAGTGTTCATCGGTCTTGTGAGATGGGTAACTTCCAAGATGGCCACTACCATAAGTACTTATTTATTTAATAATGAGGAAACTAAGCGTTCTGCTTTTCATATTGCTTAAAAGTAGGGATGGGTACCTAATTCGGTACTTTTATAAGTACTACTGAGTACCTATTCACGTAAAATCAAAAGGTACCCTGTTTCGGTACCTAAACGCATCATTGTGACCGTATTGGCGTAAGAGTGGGGGATTTTCCATGCTTGTCCCGAATGCAGCATCGCGCAAGAGCGTAATGACATCAGCAGCCGCTGGTTCAGTAAACAGAGTTCGGTCTGAACGTAGCTTGAAAGCGATTACTGTATCTGGTGAGCACAATGTTCGTTTGCTCAAAGTAAATAAAGTACAGCCACTTTCTTTATTTCATCCACCAGTAAACAGAGACCAACAGAGGAAAACAACACAGAGGTGCTTTCCGACAGTCCGAACCCTTTTTAAGAGCACGCATCCAACTTGAAGCGTTGGGTGCGTTTTGTTTCCATAGTTTGAATACATTTTATTTATTTTAACTCCTTCCCTTTTTGCAATTTTGATTTAAATTTATTTACCTTCCATGGATCCCATCACACAATTTTTCTAGCGAGGAAATGACATCAATAGAAATGCGTGGAGCTGGATTTTAATTTGTGCAGTAAGATAAAACACTACATTAGTTGTTTTCAAGAGTTTTCACCTTAAAGAAATTTGTTAAACTGATGTTACAATAGAAAAAGTTGGATGTTGTCTTTTATTTAAATTTTATATATTGAGAAAGAAATATGTTAAAATAAAGTTTATTTAAAAACGAACAACACACACAAAGTACCGAGAATTGGTACCGTTGAGTACCAATACTGATTCCCAGGTATCGGATATTGGTACCAAATCGATTCAAATGTCAAAGGTACCTGTCCCAACTTAAAAGTATAGTTTCCTTAAATTATTGGGGGTAGCCAAAGATTATTTATTAATTAATGTTTTGTCTGCAGTTTAATCAGATTTTTAAAGTTACATCTTTGTACATAAAGAAAAAGTTATTTAGCATTCAGAAGTTTGTCTCCTATCATTTGAGCACGCAGTCTGTTTTTTTACTTGTGGTGTATTTTCCCCACTTTATTTATTTTTACTCCAGGTGAAGTTCTCGACAGGTCCCCAGGTCACAAAGACACACTGGAAGCAGACGGTCTTTCTTCTAGAAAAACCTGTGTCCGTTCAAGCAGGTTAGTAACCATACAAATTACCAACACAACGTTGTCAAACACTGCAACAATCGGGGGGGGTTGAGCTCAAGATAATCAAAAAAATTTTAGAGCTTGTATTTGTGTTTAAATTCAGCTTTAAATTGTATTTATGTATGGGGGGGAGTTAATTTACCTTCTCTCYATATTTTTATTTGAGTTCTTTGGGCATTGTGAGTGCATGGCAGTGAGCTGCAGCAGGTGATCTGTCTGCGGTAGAGATGTAGGCAGGCTGGTTGACACCCGTTATCTGTCACCCACAGTGACAGGGAGGGATCCAAACAAATCACTTGCAGCCATCAGAGACAGCATGTAAAAACTTGATCTGATAGCAGCTTGCATACTTCTAAATCATGACACGTTACAAAAGGTGCGCTTTGAAACTGGCCAGCAAAATATTTATGTAATTACTGTATTAGCAGTTTGAAATGGTTTGGATTGGTGTTTTATCTTATGATTACTATTTAGTTTTAGTTTGAGATTAGAAAGATTTCATTGACAAACACTTAGCAATAGTAGTTCAAGATTATAAAAGAAAAAGTTGTGAAAATATAATTTTATCAGTATACTACCTGGCCAAAAAAAGAAGTTGCCACCAAAGAAACGGTCACACACACTATTTTGTTGGACCACGTTTAGCTTTAGTTACAGCACACATTCACTGTGGCATTGTTTCTATAAGCTTCTTTCTTTTCCAAAATCTTGCATTGATGATGGTAGAGTCTGACCTTCTCCAGCACATCCTGTAAGACCTTATTTTGTAATAACAACGCATTATGTAATAATGTAATAAAATCAGGCTTCAAAATGCAATAAACTCATGCTAAAACCACATTATGTAATAAGTGACACAAAATGTAATAAAAGTCTTCAACGCATTATGTAATAACGTTATTACATTTTGCGGCAATTGTTACAAAATGCAATCCAGTATTTCTTTCTGTCTCTCTTTAGGTAAAAATTTCCTTCACTGCATTGAAAGTTTGTGAGAAAATCACCATTACTGCTAGTATCTCATTTATTAAAGGCAGGTGCTAGAAAACAGTCTGATACACTTGTGGTCAACCATCTGCACTAAAAAGTGCTAACATTTTCTTAGTTCATGTAAGAAGATGGGAATTCTCGCAAAAATAGGAATAAAAAACAAAGTTTCTAGTCAAAAAAAATGTTATTAGGAAATACCTTCTTGAATTTTGTGCAGCTATGATTCACAGAGTTGTTTAATTTGGTGGTTGTACACACTAGTACTTTGTTATACACACAGTGCTCAAAAAATGTAGCTTATTTGGTATGGATGTTTGTTTTTAGAACAGMTGAAAGCCATGCGTTTACCATACCACACACTCAGTCATAATGAACGTTGCATGGATGACCCTGTGTAGGCTGTGGTCCTCTCAGCACTGTATCTGTTTTAAAATCCCAGATACGTCTGCCGATGAGGCTCTGTCCTTTCTGTCCACTCACTGATCAGATATCAGCTGAAGTCTACTGTAATAAATGACCTGCGCAGGGATCCGAGGCAGCTGATGGCTGATGGCCCGTAGCTGTGCTCAGCCTSCACTTGCTGCATCTGTGATGATAAGAACATCAAAAACTCTGATGCTGCGTAAATTCTATCTCATGTTTAGCACTTTGCTGGCTCAGATAAATGTATCAGAGAGAGCAGAGGACAACCGGGTGCTGATACATTACAGAAGTGAACGCAGCAGATTAAAACTGAATTTAGTTTATGACGTGTTGCGAAAAATTAGTGTCTGTCTCCTCCTTTTGTTTATGCTAATAATGCATGTTTTAATTTGCTCTGCATGCAATCAGCAGTTATAAAAACAATGGAGCACAGAACAACACCTTCAGGGTAGTTTTAAACCAAAATGTCACAGCCCTTCATAGCACCATCACTATTGTAGCAAATGGAAGATGTTTTTTTTTTTGTATATGGATTTATCTCTCCTGTACAGTTCAGAGAGTTGGAGGACTTACAGCGGGTAAAATAAGTATTGAACACGTCACCATTTTTCTCAGTAAATACTGTATATTACTAGAGGTGCTAATGACATGAAATTTTCACCAGATGTCGGTAACAACCCAAGTGATCCATGCATACAAATAAATCAAACCGTAAATGTCCAGAAATGAAGTTATTTGTAATAAAGTGGAATGACACAGGGAAAAAGTATTGAACACATGAAAAAAGGGAGGTGTAAAAAGGCATGGAAAGCCAAGACACCAGCTGAACTCTCTCAGTAATTAGAAAGCAAGCCTGGCCGAGGAGTGAAAAGAATTATCAGAAGAGTTGTCCAAGAGCCAAGGACCACTTGTGGAG